ATTTGGTATCAGATTCGCAATTTGAATAGCATTCTAACCCCATGGCTAAATTTGAGAAATGTGTGCGAGAAAATCCCTCATTCATAGTCGATTCGCAATAATCGGCCTACAGCCATGTGGCATTATTCACTCGTGCCCCGCATAATGACCTCTTGTGTGGCATTTGTTTCATTATGCGACCGTTTCGGCTTCCGCTGAGCCAGCCCGAAAAATAACCGGAGGGTTCGGATGTAAACAAGTCCGCTTCCCGGGCAACGCATTCAGCTGCATTCAGCCGCATGCACATGGCAGCTCTTCACTCGCCGAGCGTCTCGTGTGGCATGCAACAAAATTCGGGCGAATAAAGTGGAGAAATCGGGGAAACAAAGCATTACCGAAAAGCGATTACCCCGGAAAACTAACATAACACGCTAATTTATGTGCACAATTGTTTACACGTTGTTCCATGGCCATTCAATGGCTCCGCTGCCCAATTGTTCGATTGTTTAGGTGTGCACTTTTCCGACTGATTGAATGCCGAGCTGGCGGCAATATCCCTGCAATTATGGTGGGAATCCAGCTTTATGATAAACGCGGTTGCCTTCTGGCCAACACGGCGCATACGTAATTCAATCAGGGACCTATTAAATCGAGAAAACTTTTTCAATATTCGCGGGCATTAAGCTTCAATTTATTTCAATCAGCGAGCGCGCACAATTTGCGTCCAGAGAAGCCCATAAAATTGCAGTAAATTCAACAATTGTAGAGTTCAATTACGAGCCGGCCCGATATGCAGATATAGCCCCCACTATATGTATGCGCGCTTTATTTTTTCGTTTCAATTTCATTTCACGGCTGCCGTTTTACAATTGACAATTTAATGGAGTCTTCCGCAGTTGCGGCTGAGACCGAGAAAAGCCATTGTCTGGGCTTCTCCTGGTTTTCCTTGGGAGAGCCAAGGAATGCTCCCTCATTCCGCAAGTGTTAACCGCTTACTTAGGCCATTATGCTCGCTGGCCGAGGAGACATTGTATTAGGCTGGCAAATTTATGGACGCGGCTTTTATGCTTTAAGGACTTTGGCCAGACTCGAGCGTTAATGGGCGCACTTTCCCGATTTATGGGAATGGCCTGCGGCAAAAGATAAAGATAGAATACGGCGACTATTTCATAGTTAGCAGGCCGAGCTTCCGCTAAGTGTGTAACTTCCTGTTCGGAGTGGTGTGTACGAGTATATCCCCAATAAAGTCACCTGACTTGGCCACGTGGCATCCCGGCCGGATTTTATGGCCTTCACACCTCGCTCACATATTTACTATACAAATTACACTTTTTATTGCATGTGATTTCGGTTCACTCTGCCTTTTTTCTCTCTTTTTTTCGTGTGGCACGTGGCAAAGGGTTCTCCATTTCATCGGGAATTAATGTTTTATTTATATGATGTGTTGAAGCCGATACAGTTGAATACTTGTTCAGTCTTCAGGGCCGTGCAATTGTTTTTATCCTTTCGTGTGCCACAAATTGGAGCTCAAATTATGTGCTTCAGTTTCGGGCTCCGTGAACTTTTTACCGACTGCCTCGGTTTGCGGTTAATCGCACATTTCCATAACTATGCGCAAATTGCAGGGCAACACGAAGGGTAATTCTTTGATTAGAGCCCGCGTGTTGCATGTTGCGTGTGGAAATTATGCTAATTTCCACTGACATTGCACTCGGTAATGCCGAGTGTTTTTCCGTTTGTTAAATATGTATGACATGCTAATGTGCCGCGAACTGACTTCAATTAACTTTGATCGATTTAACAAAATGGTTAGCATTTTCAGCTCAATTAATTTGCTTTGTTTTTCGTTTCTGATTTGTCGTAATTGCATGCGTTTTCGTTCAGTAGTCGAATGTATATAATTATGTCAAGGCATTACCATAATGTGTAATTAAATTCGAGAGCATTAAGCATTTTCTGCTGGCTATTAAGAATTATTTATAAATTATTCAGGCTTACTGCCGAAATTCGCCAGTAAAAATGAGGTTTCAGAACCAAATGAATTTTACACAGTTTTAATTAAGTTTGTTTTTGGGGGATATAGGGGGATAAATAATTAATTTTGTGTTTTCCCTGATATCTTATCTATTTTCTTTTCTTGCTTTTCTAATTTATAGTTTTTGAGGAAGCTGAATTTAAATGTTTATTTAGAGTGCAACATATTTTACAGAGTATATTTATTTTCGTCGTGGCTAAAATATACGGCTTTGGCTTAGCTTCGCCAGAAGTTTTGCATAATTTCGCATATATGCCAAAGTTTTAGTTGTTAGTTTATCTGCTGATGGCGTTAGTTAGAGAAATTGTTATATCCGCTTTCCCTCCACATAGAATAAACCGCAGAACAGAGCGACATGCATATGCAGATTCTAAAAATGAAATTAAAATAAATGGCAAGCGCAAGCGGCAAAGGAAAAAGTATTTATTTATTTGCGTTCCCGAAACTGTGGCGCGCAGCTTTATGTGTTGTCATTAGGCAAATAGTTTGCGGGCTGGCTGTGAAAAACGATTGTTGCACAGCATGCGAGCTGGCAAACGAAGTACGAACAATTATGGCCGAAATCAGGGAATCCGACGCCAGCGATTTGTTTGCATGGATACGGATATACTCGCATTGCGGCACAAAGACATCAATGCTGTTGGGTTACAATGTGGTTGTGGCGTGGCAGCAGGAATGGCAGCATAATTTCGTGGGGCTGGCGAATTTAATGGGTTCATTAGACGAGAGTTGCCTGCTTTTCGGCGACACTTCTCCGCCGCTGCTGCGCTGAAATTAATGCAAAACGTGAGTTTGTTTTTAGCCCGAGCGATCTGCCCGTTTTGTTTTTCCTCAGCTGAAGCTTCAACTTCTACTGGAGCTTCTACTTCAGCTCTTCCCCCGGCTCATTATTCTTGTTGCTCGGGAAATTGTGCTACTGTTATTATAATACTTTTATGCCATCGTTTACCCTCGCTGATGCGGCTGCTGTTGCTACTCTTGCTGTTGCTCCTGTTGGTGTTGACTTAGTCAAGAGCAATTAACATGCAAATAAGGCCTATTAGTTACCCAAACGTCAGCCTGTCAGCTGCCGCCTCTTCCACAACAACCACGCCCACCGCGCACCTTTCGCCCCTCCCCCCAAGCTGCGCCTCCCATTTCTTTAAGGATCCCGTGACAGGATGCTCTTTTTCGCCTGCTCGGGTCGCACTTTAATGACTTACTAATTTCAAGTTCGCCATCTTCTCGGGCTCCTTGGGCAGTATCGTTAAAAATCTTAATTGGCAATTTAGCCGAGTGCCGAGTACATCGTAACGCTCATCGTTGAGTTTAGTGTTATGTTTCGGGGTGCTAGGCGTGGAAACTTTTGATTTCCAAAGGGTCAATCCTTTGTCTTTAATCTAATCACCTAGGGCCGACATTTTTATGAAGTTTCGCCCTGCATTCGGCAATTAATGTTAATTGATCACTTAATTTCGAGCATTTCCATTAAAACTTTTCTCGGTCCGGGGCAAAAGTTAAAGCGAAATGGATTCAGATTCGGACTCGGACTCGCAGTGTGCGCGCCCGCCTTGATTTACATTCCAGGACTCGGGAGCCCAGGACTCTCCTCGTCACCAACACCATCGCACGTTCACACGGTCCCGTGTCCGTGTGCCGCAGCCATGCAAGTTGAATTAACATGAAAAAATATTGACCCACACACACCGGCAAACACACCGGCAAACACACCGATACACACCGACACACACACACACACACATTGGGGTACGCACACGAGCGCGGTGAGTAAAGGTCCTGCTGCAATTTATAGCTGCAGTGCGATGGTCAGTGTGGGAAAATGTTTGAGCACACACACGGCCAGAGGCGTAAATGTAACTGGCAGCTCCTGCGAACCGGTGCAATTGTGTGGGGTAACACACTGGGAAAAAATGTATATGTCACTGCAAAACGAAGTCTGTTAAATGGGGAACACACCATAAATGAATTGATTTTGATAAATAAAAAAATTCATGTAATAACTTGGCCATACTAAGAAATTATTTATATTAATAATAACTCATTACATTTTATAATTATAATTAATTTAATTTATAAATTAAATATATAAATATTAATTGAAAATAAATTAATTCCAATTTCTATTTCTGCATATATAAAGTTTGTATACATTCGCACTATACTTTCTTACCCACTATTCGGCTCAGTGCAGTTGTGTCTGGCGGGGATTTACCCTTCACAGGACACACAATGAAGGTGTGTGCTGACAACGAATGCTGTGGGTGATGATCCAGGTTGATTTATCTACTGGCGCTGAGGTTAAAAGTTTTGCGCATACTTCCATTGTTTAGGTCAGCTTCCCTTTGTGTGGCAGAACCACAGAGCCAGCCTGGCACCACCCCGGATCACCCCAGACCACCTCAGACCACTCTAGACCTCTCTGGCACCACCGAGCGACAATCCGGCCGGCAGACAGGAGGTTATGCAAATGTCAGCCCCCTGCAATTATTCAACCTTTGGCTCTTCGGGCTCTGGGCCCCTGTGATTTCTGCTTGGCCAATAACGTTTATTTAATCCATGATTATTTTATTGGTTTAGCTGGAAGCGAAGCAGAAAGGCTGGCAGCTCATTACCGCACTCCCGACGCCAGATCCTTACTAATTATGGAGCTTCGGAGGTCGTTATGTATGCGGCTTTTTTGCCGTTCCCAAAAGCGAACTACCAACCCTCCTCCCAAGTCGCCCACTCCGGGGCTCAAGGCCACGTCCGGAGTATCGGGAATATTTTGCTGACGTCTCCCTGAAATCCATCATTTTCCCCAGCCGTCTGTGACACGTGGTCTCCACAGCTGGCTAATAAATCTTAATCAGTCCGAACCCCAGTGGGTGGCTGTGGTCTCCATCTAATTTGGCCCACTGCTGCCTCCATTCTGTTGGAGCCATGGCTTATCAACTTATCAACTGGCCCGCATTGATTGGCCCGCCAATCGAGCATAATCGCAAAAAGCTTTTCAATGCTGATAGGTTTATTTATTTATTTTTGCTCGCCCAAAGCTTAGATTACGGCTTTTCCGGTCTAGAAGAGGGATCCAATCTGGCCCAGGAGGTGATCGAACCAGTTTTCCTCGGTGGTGGTTTCGCTCGACGCGGTGGTGGTGGTGCTCTCCCAGGGAGCTTCGGTGGTGCTCAAGAGGCCCCGCGTTGAGTTTCCTTGCCACGGACCTTGGGTGGAGTTCCAGCTGGGTCCCTGGGTCGAGTTTCCTCCCCAAGGACCTTGGGTGGTATTGTTGCCCCACGGACCTTGAGTGGTGTTGTTTCCCCAAGGACCTTGAGTGGTGTTATTTCCCCAAGGACCTTGAGTGGTATTGTTTCCCCACGGACCTTGAGTGCTATTGTTTCCCCAAGGACCTTGAGTGGTGTTGTTTCCCGAAGGAGCCTGAGTAGTGTTGTTTCCCCATGGACCTTGAGTTGAGTTGTTTCCCCACCATGGACCTTCGGTAGTATTATTTCCCCATGGACCCTGAGTGGTGTTGTTTCCCCATGGACCTTGAGTTGAGTTGTTTCCCCACCATGGACCTTCGGTAGTATTATTTCCCCATGGACCTTGAGTGGTGTTGTTTCCCCATGGACCTTGAGTTGAGTTGTTTCCCCACCAGGGACCTTCGGTAGTATTATTTCCCCATGGACCCTGAGTGGTGTTATTTCCCCATGGACCTTGAGTTGAGTTGTTTCCCCACCAGGGACCTTCGGTAGTATTATTTCCCCATGGACCCTGAGTGGTGTTGTTTCCCCATGGACCTTGAGTTGAGTTGTTTCCCCACCATGGACCTTCGGTAGTATTATTTCCCCATGGACCTTGAGTGGTGTTGTTTCCCCATGGACCTTGAGTAGAGTTGTTTCCCCACCAGGGACCTTCGGTAGTATTATTTCCCCATGGACCTTGAGTGGTGTTGTTTCCCCATGGACTTTGAGTTGAGTTGTTTCCCCACCATGGACCTTCGGTAGTATTATTTCCCCATGGACCTTGAGTGGTGTTGTTTCCCCATGGACCTTGAGTAGAGTTGTTTCCCCACCAGGGACCTTCGGTAGTATTATTTCCCCATGGACCTTGAGTGGTGTTGTTTCCCCATGGACTTTGAGTTGAGTTGTTTCCCCACCATGGACCTTCGGTAGTATTATTTCCCCATGGACCTTGAGTGGTGTTGTTTCCCCATCGACCCCGTGCTGAGTGGTTTCCCCACCAGGGACCTTCGGTAGTATTATTTCCCCATGGACCTTGAGTGGTGTTGTTTCCCCAAGGACCTTGAGTTGAGTTGTTTCCCCACCATGGACCTTCGGTAGTATTATTTCCCCATGGACCTTGAGTTGAGTTGTTTCCCCACCACGGACCTTCGGTAGTGGTATTTAGCCACGGACCTTGCGTTGAGTTGTTTCCCCACCATGGTAATTCAGTAGTAGTGGTGGTGAAGTTGGGAGTGGTGTTCGTGTTGGGCCACTGGGTGGTGTTCCATCCCGGACCGCCGGCGGTGGTGTTCTGAGGTGGTGGCAGGGTGCTATTCTGGGGCGGGAGTGGCTGCACCTGGGCGAGGCAGTCGGCTAATTCGGAAGAGGCAGCCTCCAACTTGATGGCAGCCCTCTCGAATTCCCGCAGAATGCAGGCCCTTCGGCGACGAACATCGTACCGATTGCGGTTCACCGAGCTGAACAGATTCAGGACCTATTCCGAAAAGTATCCTTCACTAGAGTTGCAATGGAAATTAGGTATCCAATGTGAACTTACGGCATCCACGTAGCAATCGCGGGTGTGGCGCTCCGAATTACGCAGTGCGCAGCCAATCAACTCGCGTTCGAAGGAATACTTCGAGTAGATGGCGTCCTCGCGTTGCAAGTACCTGTTGATATCCCTGGAGTACACATTGTTGCAGCGTTGGATCTTGTAGCCAGCCGTCAGCAGAATGGCAATGTTGTCCACGGTGTAGAGGGCAGTGCACTCGTCGAACTCGACGAGCTCATCGGCCTGCGGCTCCTGCAGGTTGCCAGTCACGGCATCGAAGAGCAAGGACTGCCAGACCAGCTCCTTGGAACTCTCCGCCGATTTCGTGAACGCCTGCGGATGTATTTGCGGATTATATAAGCTGATTTTCCGGAGTTACTCCACCCCTCGAAAAGGAGGGGCACTCTCACCTGAGCGCCGACGAGCAGCAAGCAGAGCGTCAAAAACTTGCAAAGAACCTCCATCTTGGCGGTTCAAGTCGATTCTGAGTTAGCTGCGCTGGCAGGTGACCATTTTAAAGCGCCGAGCATTCGATTTTCCATATTTTATTTTTATTTATTTTCATTCCTCCTTCCTTAATTGCATTTATCTATTGTTGTTCGGTGGCCCGCACCGCAATCAGCGGGCAGGTGATAAGTCTTAAGCAGTCTAATTGATGATAACAATGAGTGGCCGAAGTGCCGTCACCATGATAAGGCCCTTCGGGTGCGGAACTGGGTGTGAAGTGGCTGAAAGGGGCTTCTGGGTGAGTAACCCCTCAATGGGGCTCGGGAAACTCCAGCGATAGGCTGGTCAAAACATGGGAAACTTTTGCTTGTAAGTTCAAAGGAAAAAATCAAAGTTTTGATTGACAAGCAGATAAAGCAATGCCTGCAATAAAGTAAATAACTGGCATAAAGGGCTTTAAACGATAATGAGGAACATACAACATTGTATGGTGTATGATTATCATAACATAGTTGGTGTTTTTTTGCTTGTAATTAATTTTTAGTAATTTATGGCAATTCTTAGATTATTAAAAAAAAACAATCGGTTAGATCTTTGTGAAATGAAACAGTTTATTGCTGAATTACTAGTTTGAACCCTAGTTGGTCAAAGGCAGCTCCTTGTACTGCTGCTGGGGCATGTCCTGCTCCTCGGGGATCTGCTCCTGGGCCACGTGAGCTGGCCTTATCTGCTCGTACTCCTTGTCGTGGGGAATCTCACGTGGAGTCTCCTGGGGAGTCACCCGCTGGCCGGGGATCTTGGCCAAACAGGAGTCGTAGTCGTTGGCCGCCTGGATGGACTGCACCTTGGCCTCGCTGATCGCCGAGCTGATGCAGTTGGTCCGCTGGGCACTCACTTGGGTCTGGTTGGAGGTGAACTGGGTCTGGGCTTGGTAGGCCTGCGAGTTGGAGGTGTCCAGCAGCTGCAGGTTCTTGTCGAACTATAATAAATTAAGGTCAACAACGGCAATCGTGTATGTGAAGGGCAAACAGACTCACAGTGGACACGGTGCAGTTGAGGAAGAGGGCGGAGTCCGTCTCGTTGCGGCAGGACTCAAGGTTCTGCTGCAGGTTCCACAGCTGGAGGCGAATCTGGCTGACAGTCGAGTTGCTGCTCTGGCTGTAGGCCACCTTGGTGCGGTTGGCAGCCTCCTCGCATTCGTTGGTGGCATTGGCCAACTGGTCGCCGTACTTCTGGGTCGTGTTCAAATAAAGGTTGGCACAACTCTGGGCAGCCGGATTCAGGGCACGGCCCGCGGCCTCACCCAAAACCATGCGGAAAAGAGCCTGCTCCAGACCCACTTCCTCTCCAAATCGTGGCACGGCACTGACCTGGTAATCGGGATAAAATATATTTAAAGAAACAAATTGTAAACTTTGTTCTAATTTTTTCTATTCATTCAAATCAATTTTGTAAGCAAAGAAACTTTGTTTTCGTTGAAATACTTTTTTGTCTCGCATTGTAAGTTATTTATTTGCGATACAGAACGAATATGTTTCTGTGAATGCTATCTTCAACTATAAAATGATAAATGCACTTGTCGTTAGTAATACTTTATAAAAAACTCTGTTGATAAATACAAAATATCTACCCGTTTTTATCAAGTGAAAAGGCTATAAGTGATTAAGTTCAGCTGGTACTTCCCAAGAAAATGCACAACAAGAATGCCAACTTGAAAACTTTAAACATTCTACGAGAAAACTTTGTTTTAGTAACTCACGCTGAACAGGGTCACGGCCAACAGAATAACTCGTGTAAAAAGCTGCATCTTGAAAACTTCAATTGCTCTAAATTTGGTGATTCTGGCAAGCCACAGGGCCTTTTATACTCCAGCTTCTGGGAAATAAGATCCGCCAGGGTCTAAAATTAACCACTAATTGGCAATGCACTGAGATTAGATAGGGGCCAACAAGAAGACATGACGAGTGTTCATCTAATTGGCTTTCTGCAGGGCTAAGACTCATATCCAAAGGGGCTAAGATAGCTGGTTGCCAGCCTAAATGGCACTCCAATCATTGGCCTTGTCGCCTGATAACCCAGCGCACCCCCTTCGGTGTCTGGAAGTCTGACTGTCTGCCTTATCGCCGCCGCATATGATATAAGACCTTATTTAGGCCCCGGTGACTAAACACTTCCGACAATCTGGCAGCTCTCTGGGGAACCGCGATTTAAGCGATCACTTTCAAGAGCCACTTCAGCAGTGATTTTAATCTACCGATTATATGTCCGTAAATCAGCGGATTCTAGTTTGCCTATTCTCAGAACGCCAAAGTGATTCCCAGAATTGATAGAGCGAAAGCTGATAACCAATATTCTTTTGGCTAAGGTTATTGAAAGTAAAAACCGCATTTCCATGAATTCGGTTATCAATTGGCTTGGCAAACCGCATTTGTGTATCGATCTATACACTTTTGACAAGCGAAAAAATAAAAATAAACAGGCTATCTTCTAATTAGCGTGGCACGCACTCAATTCGTGTACATATATTCATTTTTCATGCCAAGAATCGATTGAGAAAAGTGGCTGGGATTTCCAGTGGACCGGCTGCCAAAAGAGTGAGCCGCGTATTTATCAAAAACACACAACAACAGGGGGTAAAAGGGTGGGAAAATGGGGGGAATCCTGGCTCCACGTGTGGAGCACACACACATACATCTTGCGATAGACCAAACAAGATTTATAAGCTGAGACATTGTTCCAAGCACCTTCGTGGAAAAGTCGTCTCAACTCGAGCGATTTATCAAAAGCATAAAGTGCAGGCAGGGCGGTGCCAACTTTTCGAGGTAATGCACTTGAAGAAAAAACTGACTTAAAAAAACCATTAAGAAATATGTGAGGAGATGCAAGTAAAAAATTGTTGCAATAACTTCCTAAATTTAATACATATTGTGTAGCCTAGTTGCTTTATCACTTAAAGTATGTCAGGTTTAAACATTTCTTGAGAATTTTTTAATAATGAATGATTGTCTTTGGTTCATTAATGTTTTGCCCTGAACAAAGCCATCAATCTTCAATAAGCTCAAGAACTAGACAATATCTAAAAATATCAAAACAAAACCAGTACAAAAAGGTTTGTTTATAAAAGAGGAAATGCTTTCCGTATTAGATTGCGTTTATGTTTTCCTAATTTTTTTTGGGTTGGATTTTTTAGGTATTTATCCCAGTGTCTAACTGCCAGTCGCATCTGCGCCAGTGGAACTTCCTGGGCGAAAGATTTAACGGGCGACAAGTGCTAATTTGAATGTGGGCAGCCGTTTTATTTGTCCTGACAGTCGGCAAGGTAAGCCACAAGTCACGGTTCCCTTTCGCTCCCGAATCAGATTGGCTTGTCGCTGCTGGTGTCATATCATCTCGACTTGATGGTTCCTCTTCCCATTGGGAAGTGACTTTTGTTTCCCGGGATCCGGCACTCGGGAACCGTGGAGTGGTGAGTCATGTAATTCGCTTGAAGTGGCTTTACATCGCGGCTTCAGTTTCTGTTTCTGATTCTGAGTCTGAGTCTGATTCTGTTTCTGGTTCTGGTTCGGTTTCTGGCCCTGTTGAGATCTCGAGTGGCTGTTAAGCACTTTCATTACACGGGCCCGAAAAGAGCAATGATTTATGCGAGTTATGAGGGGATACGGCTCGAGTGTCGCTTTAAACACGAGTGTGGCAAGGACTCGCCGAGGACTCCACCTCCAGCTGCGCGCATTTGTTGACTGGCGTCATTAAAAATGGAATGCCGCGTACAGTGCACGACAGGCTGTTAAGGCTGGTAAGGCGGCTGGATATTGTTGCGCATTGTTTGCGCTCGTTGTTGTTAATGCCTCGGCCGCTGCCTTTGCCGCTGTCAACTCCTTTGTTTACAGCAGCTCGACTGGCGAATAAATGCCGGGTCTAGACAGTCACGCACAATGGCAGTTTTAATTTTAAAAGTGCATCCGGAAAAAGAGCATAGGACAGAAGGCAGGGGAGCCTTTAAAGGAGAGCTCAAGTTCACTTTAAATAAATTCCGCAGATACAATACTATAAAATAACTATAGGCAAACAAACATATCGTTCAATAATATTTTTGGAAAACATGCTTAGCACAATGTTAAAACTGTGATTAAAAAGAAAACAAGATGGAAACTCGCATTTACATCTATGCAGTTATAACATGAAATATCCCTGAAACCAAATAGCTAAAATGTAAGCTAGCCACACGATTGATTTGTTTACTTGATTTCTTTGCATAGACAAATAAAATGTAATTCAGCAAATGACATGTTCAAATAGCATGCACAATTAGTTTGCAATCATTTAGACTACAATTAATTTTCATTTGATTTGTAAATATCGGTAGAATAAAATCAAAACATGGTTAGATAAAAAAACATGCAATAAAATGTTTGTTAAATAATCGCAGTACAACGATAAAAATGTTGCTACTGATGACCTCTTATTGAGATACCTGCAAATAAATTGAAACAATTTAAATATTGAGAAGGCTTAACTCACGCATCACTTGGTAAGTTTTTAAACATGCACTTGATATGCTGGGATCCACAAGTATGGACTTCATTTGAATTTTTAATTTTCCCAATAAGCGTTTCTGATTTATTTTGTAGAGGTTTCAAGAGCTCTTGGCGCTGATAGTTACTGGCTTTCCCCCCAAAGGTAAACGCGTAATAAGTTTTTTATGCAAATTTCCCAGGGAAAACTTTCCCTGTCAACACTTTATTCCATTGTAAATTATTTGCATTCATTTATTTTCAGTTTTTAGTTTTTTTCCTGCCATATTATTATTTTTTTGTTGAAGCGCCATCAGAGAACATTAAAAATGTGTAACATGTAGCTCAGTTCTTGTTGTTTGCTGAACACGGCATTTTTTTGTGTTCTCTAAATGTTAATTCAATGCAACATTTTCGTGTAGCTCCGCATTTGCTGCCATGTTTTTAAATAAATACTAGCGACAAAAAACGGGGAGAAGGGGGCGGGAAAAGCACTCCCGCTGCGCCATATGTGTGGAAAAGTCGCAGGAAAACTGAGAGAGGGAAGCCCAGCGCAGCGGGAAACTTTTGTTGGGGGCCTTGATTTCTGTGACAATATTTGTGCGGTCTAATGGCAAAATGGCATTTGAATTTTAGTCCATTGCTTATTGAGATTTAATCTGATTGTGAATGTGATTTACATTTAGCAGAGGGGGCGGCGGGGTGCAGTGTAGGATCCGAAATTTGCATTTCAAAGAGCGAAAAGAGGGTCGCCGTGGAAGGTGGGCGGAAGTTTTTATGCGAGGACTCATGAAATTTATTAACGCTTTCATTGCACGCCGGGGAATTGCCGGAGAAGAGCGAGACGGCCAGATGGAGTGTGCGAGAGAGAGAGTCTGAGCCGCCGTGGCATTTCCTTTGTGTGCCGTAGATTTACTGGCTGCTCCGGGTTTTCCAGTTGATTTTACTGGTGGATATTACGTTTTAGTGCCGCGCTCCGCCTTTGTTGCCGCTTAGAAGTGCCTCAAAGTTATCCAAATGCGAACTTTAATCAAGTTAAATGGTGCGCACGGGCCAGGTGGTGGTGCTCTGTTGGGCCAGTGGGTGGTTCGCGAGTGGTGCCCTAACCACCGATGCCGGCATCCTAGTTTGGAATTGCCAATGGCAATTAAAGTGCATTAACCACATGATGCGTTTTGCACTTAAAACCGCCCTCAGTACCACTCGCATATACCCATATTACCCGCACAGGTCACTGCATCTGCTGCAGGTGCACTTCCAGTTGCAACAGTTGCATTTGCTGCACTGGACACGAGCGCACACGCATCCACATCCACATCCACATCCACATCCGTTTCCGGTTCCGGCAGCAGCCAAGCCACTAAACGGAAGCGACTGTTGCCGCTTTTGTTGCCCGCACACTGAAAGAAAATACAAACTTTCACCTGGAATAATTGCACTTTTTTACATTATTAGAAAGAGTAAACTTTAGGACCAGCATAATATTTATCCAATGATAATGTATGCTTCTGATTTGAACCTAATATAAACTAAAGAATGATTGTATTATTCTGAAATTAATTTAAAATAATTTTTTTGTAAATAAATAAATTCTTAAAATTTTATAATTTATTTTACTTTTAATAGTCAACAGATAAACCATATTCTAAACATTGGATTTATTTTGCTCAGTGTAGTAAGGTTAAAAACAGGAGAGTGGATGGCACCTGACCAGCGAACGGCGGCAGCATGTGCATCCTAATAAAAACTAATTAGGAGCCTCCATCTTCGCCCGGAGCCCCTGGCCATTATTATCCCAGTGGCACCCTCGGTGGTCAGCAAACTGTTGCTGATGTCGTCTGACATCAAAGTTCTATTTTAGTTTATGTTGCGAGTGGAACGCACACACACTCACACACACGCTAAAGCCACATTCCGCACCCGGGGCTTTAGAGTCTGATTGTGACAGGACAGGGATGTCCTTTAACCCCAACCCCAATGCTTTTCAGCAGCGAGTGGGGCCTAAACGCTCCCTCGGCTGACACGAGGAATTTAATTTCATTTCGCCAAAGACAAATACAGAGGCAGACGTCAAGTTATTAGCAATATAAACACACATGTGCCACAGTTTACTTTCCGTTTCCCCAGAGGGCCAGATGTGTGGGCGTGCGTACCTCATTTAAAAGTCCCGAAAAGAGCAAACGAAGCCAAACAACCGAAAAGTGTTTATTAAAAGTAAAGAAATTCGCAAGAAATTTGTTTGACGTCAGGCGGAATTCTCGGGAAGTAAGCAAACAAGCGAGTGGGTGGGGTAGAAGTGAGTGATTAGAT